TGGGCTCTGCGCTGACAGCAGTGAGCCTGACGCGGGGCTCGAATCACAGGAGCATGAGATCACGACCTGAGCCATAGTCAGGCGCCCAACCAACTGAGCCCCCCAGGCACCCTGAAACCACCATCATCTTGTGTAGGTGAGGCAGTGAGGCTGAGAAGGGGCCGGGCCCCAGCCCGGGCCCCAGAAGCCTTCCTGCCTCCAGGCAAGGGGCCTGAGGGGCTCTGCATGGACCGAACGTTTCTGCCCCGCACCCCCGCCCCAAGTTCACATGTTGAAGCCCTAACCTCCAAGCTGATGGTAGTGGGAGGTGGGGCCACAGGAAGGTAATGAGGTCAGGTGAGGTCAGGAGGGCGAAGCCCCAGGAGGGGACTGGCACCCTTTCAGGAAGGAGCGAAGCCACCTCTCAAGGAAGAGGTGGGCACAGAGCAAGATAGTGGCCGCCCTTGAGCTAACAGGTGAGGCCTCAGGATGAAGCCTACCTTGCTGGCACCTTGACCTTGGACTCCCCAGCCTCCAGAACTGGGAGGAATGAATATTGCTTAGGCCCTACCCACCTCACCTGGAAGAGGGGCCCCCAGGACACTGGCAGTGTCAGTGTGGGGAGGAGGGGCCGTGGTGGGGGAGAGGCCGCCCTTGGGGCAGGGGGCTCTGGTCCGCAGGGGTGGGTTTCCCTGGGGCGTCTTCGGGAAAGTCTTCCCCTGGCCCAGCCAAGATCTCACCACCCACCGTCCTGACTGCCTAGTCCCTCAGTTTCCCTCTGAGCCCACAGAGGGTTGGGGCCCCTGGGAGAGGAGAATCTGGAAGATCCAGGGGGCAGGGAGTGGGGGAGGGGAAGGAGGAGAGGGGAGGAGAGGGCGGTGGGGGGAGGGGAGCAGACAGGAGGAAGCCTGGGTGGTGGGAGGGGTGCGGTGGGCCCATGACCGAGCTTCGGAAAAATGCCCAGCCCTCCAGCTGTGTGCCTCGGTGCCCCTGGAATGTGCCAGGGCTGAAGCTGGAGGCTGTTCATTGCATAGAAGACGCATTATTCCCGGCGGCCGGTTGCCATGCTGTCCACATATCTCATTTTATGGAAACACAGCCAAATCAAGAGAAGAGACAGAAGTGGGGGAAGCTTTCATCCAGTTTCTCCCCAAGAGTCTTATAAGGGACAGACCCGGGTCCTGAGAGCCCTCTCCTGGGAACAGGGGTCGGCAGGGGGGGCAGTGCAGGTGCTGGGAACCAGCCAGGCCCACCCTCTCCCCAGAGCCGTCCACACTGGCCGTGTGCACGTGTGTGTGAGTGTGTACAATGGTGTGTCTGAGAAAGCATGTGTGAGAGGGTGCGTGTGTGTGAGTCTGTGTTGGTGAGAGTGGGACAGGGTGTGAGCACGTCTGGTGAGCATGGCTCTCGATGTGCACACACGCGTGAGCGTTTATGGGAGCGCGTGGGCACGTGGCGGCTGGGACAGGTTAAGAGCCAGGGTCACGGTGTGAGGCCCCTCTGGAGCCCTGAGCTGGCCTGTTGTCCCTCAGCCTCAGGAATCCCGCTACTACTTCCTTCCGGGGTGTCATAATGAGATCAAGCTCATCATCCAATTCCTAGGACCCAGGGGCACACTCGGCCAAAGGCCGCCATTGTTACCAATTCCTCCCCCCAGCAGTCAGGGCCCGTGATTCCCCGGGGGATCTGGATTGGGGAAGGAAACGAATCATGTGCGAATTCCAGGCAGGCAGGGCCCAGAAGAAGGGGACTCGGGGGGCCTCGGGGGCAGGTGACCTGTGTGCTGGGAAGTATGTCCCTTGGCGGCGTTGGAGGAAAAAGCTTTCGAGGACAGAGCGGGGCCTGGCCCTGGTGTTCATGACCTTGCCTTTGACCCTAGATATGGGAGGAGTGTCCAGGACCTGGTTCTCTGCCTGTGGCTGATTCAGTGTCCAGAGGCTCAGGCAAGACACCCATTGGTAAAAAAAACAAAAAAAAAAAAAAAAAAAAAAAAAAACGTAGAAACACAAAGAAGACCTCAGAGATCCCAGCATCCAGAAATAATCACCACTAACATCTTAGCGTGGGGCCATCGGCAATGACCCCTGCTTCCGTTCTACAGGCGTGCGTGGCACACGTGTGCACACCGCTTTCTCCCAAGTGGGAATCACAAGGTACCTGCTATTCTCTGACTCACTTCGTTGAACTGCTTTAGGGCAGAGTCTCGGGTGAGGGAAGGCCTGTCTGGCAGCTCTTGTCCGTGTTGCTGTCGGACAGCTAGAGAGGCTAAACGTCTCTCCTCATGTTTGTTAAAACAGTTTTTCCTCCTCTGTGACTCACCTGCGTATGTCCTTTGCCCGCTTTTTCAGTTAGTGCTTTTGCCTTCTTGTTGTTGATTTTTACCGGTTCTTTATATATGAAGGCTACCCCTCCCTATACATCGCACGGTCAGAGGGACTCCCAAACTCCCTGGGGCAGGGGTGGGCTAGGCCAGAGTCTGAGCACCCAGTGCTCAGCCCCGGGACCCCCAGGCTGCTCAGGAATCCCGGAAGTAGGGAGCAGGAAGTGGCGAGGCTGGCAGAGCAGCGAGAGGCAGTGGCGAGGAAAGAAGAGAGGAGGCTGAGAACTTAAATCAGAGGCTCTGAGTGACAGAGCCTTAATGGGAGGCAGATGGAGGAAACAAAGTTGCCCTTGCTGACAGGAGGGAGGTCAAAGGTCAAGAAACTTTCTAAAGAGAGGGGCTTGGGCGACAGGCAGGCGGCCGCCCGGCTCCACAGTGTGGCGCCCAGGGGCTGTGACAGAGCAGGGGTCAGCTCCTTACTCCTGCTTGTGCAGATCTCTGCCCACACCCAGAGGAGCCGCAGGGCACCCCAGCCCTGAGGGCCAGACACATGGGAGATTGCACCCCTCCCCCCTCCCCCAGACCTGGGTTGGAATCTCAACCTAGCTGTGCAACATTGGGCAAGCATCCAAACCTCTCTGAACCTGTTTCCTTGTTTGAAAAATAGCAGAACGCCACCATTTACTTAACGGGATTTATTGAGACTGGCGTGTCAAGCATTTAGCACGGTGCTTGGCGCATTAGAAGGGCTCAGCACATAAAAGCTGACTCGTTGTTACTTTTTAACATTTTCTTCTGGGCAGAGCCAGCAACAGTGTCAAGGACCTCTTCCTGGGCTCCAGGACCGTCAGAGCCTGAAGGGCCTTCAGGTTACAGGTAAGGAAACTGAGGCCCAGAGACCAGAAGGGCCATGCTTGGGGTTGCCCATCAGATCAGTCTTAACTGGGTCCTCCAAAGAGGCACGGTCAAGTCCTAGAAGCCTCTAGTACTTTTGACTGGGACCTTATTTGGAAATAGGGTTTTTGTTTGTTTTTTTGCAAATGTAATCAAGCTAAAATGAATTCACACCGGATTGGGATGGGCCCTAAATCCAACGGCTGGGGTCCTTTAGAAAAGACAGGGAGACTTGGACAGAGACACAGATACAGCGATGAAGGCCACTTGAACACAGAGGTATGCAAACATTGGAGTGAAGTGGCCACAAGCTAAGGAAAGCTGGGGGCCACCAGAAGCTGGTGGAGGCAAGAAAGGAAGTCTCCCTTAGAGCCTTTGGGGGGAGTCTGTCCCTGCCGACACCTTTGATTTCAGGCTTCTGGCTCCCAGAACGGCCCAGCTTGTGATGCTTTCTTATGCCAGCCTTGGGAAACCAGTGGGGCCGGGCAGAAGCAGGCCTCAGCTGAGGGGGTCGCCTGACCTGTGCCCTGGAGCCGAGGGACCTTGAGTCAAGGTCCCACGGCTCCTACACCATTCAGGTCCTTGGAACCAATCGAGAGGCAAGCTGTGGATCCTTAAAACAGTCAGAGCCTGGGGCGCCTGGGTGGCTCAGTCAGTTAAGCGTCCGACTTTGGCTCAGGTCATGATCTCGCGGTCTGTGGGCTCAAGCCCCACATCGGGCTCTGTGCTGACAGCTCAGAGCCTGGAGCCTGCTTCAGATCCTGTGTCTTCCTCTCTCTCTCTGCCCCTCCCCCGCTCATTCTGTCACTCTCTGTCTCTCAAAAATAAACGTTAAAAAAAAAAAATCTGTTCTGCTCTCGGAGGGGGGCGGGGAGCACACAGACAAATTACGGGCAAATCCGATTGTCTTCAAATGCCTCTCTAGACCTTTTTTCCTTCACTCAACAACTCTTGCCTCTGGCAGGTGCCAGACGGAGAGACTCCCAAGGGCATGTGGTGGGGGCCGGAGGCCAAGGCACCATGCCAGCGCTCGGACCCACACACCTCTTTAGAAAAGACTTTTCCAGAATCAGGAAGACATCGGGCCTCCAATGTTGTAGAGGTTCACATGTATGGCCTTAAAGGAAGATGTCTGAGCCCTGGAAAGCGGCTCCGGGGTAGGGTTCCTTCCTAACAGATTCCACTTCCCTGACATGAACAGAGTTCTTGATCCAAGGTCTTGGGTGCTGCAAGTATTGCTTATTTAACGGATTAGTAAATTAAGGTCAATTGAGTCCATCAAGGTGGAAATTGGAAGGAGCTGGCAGCCTGCAGGCCCAGGAGCTCCTGGGGACAGAGTAAGGGATTGTCCCCACCACCCGTCGGGGTGTGTGGGCATCCACTCAGCGTCGGGGAGAGGAGAGAACCAGGCCACGTCGGAGGAAGCCCTGGTCCGATCCGCGTCCAGGGCGGCTGGGCGGCGCCCAGGGTTCGGGGTCCCCTCCACCGGCCGGGGTACTAGGGCAGTGGCCGAGCAGGGCGCGCTATGGGCGGAGCTCGGACGGCGCCCAGCGGCCGCGGGCGGGATCGCAGGGCGGAGCAGGGCCGGGCCGGGCCGGGCCGGGCCGGGGAGAGGCGGGCCCGCGGCGGGCGGCGACCAGGCCTGCCCGAGGGTCCTCGCCCCTCACTCCCCGCGGGCGGGTGCCAGGGACACCCCCAGCTCTCTCTCCGGGGGGCGCCGCGGTCCTCCGAGCCCGCAGGTGGCGCTGTCGCCACGGCTCGCTTTCCTGGGCGCCGCGGACCGGAAGTGCGAGGGTCACTTCCGGCGCGGAGCAGAGGGGTGGAAGGCGGGAGGGCCGGCCGGGCGCGGGGGCTGGCCCTGCAGAAGCCAGGGCGAGCCCGCGGCCTCCGGATCGCGCACGGTCGGCGTCTGGGCCTGGCCGGAAGGTGCGGCCGCCCTGCCGCGCCCGGGGCCGCCGCGATGCCCTTCCTGCACGGCTTCCGGAGGATCATCTTCGAGTACCAGCCGCTGGTGGATGCGATTCTGGGCTCCCTGGGGATCCAGGACCCCGAGCGGCAGGAGCCTCTGGACGGGTAACTGGCTTCCTTACCGCCGGCGCTGCTGCGCTTCAGTTGTCACTGCGAGTGTGGCGGGGACGGGGGCCGCCGTGTCCCTACTCTGCAGATGAAGTTGCGTCGCTTGGAGCGTGAGCTCCCGCACCTGACTCCAGTCTTGCGCTCGGGAGGATGGAGGGTGCTCGAGGCCCGCGGAGGGAGGCCTGGAGGCTGGAGTGTCGGCCGGGCCTCCGCCTCGGTGCCCCACCCTGTGCACCGTCGGCCTGGTGCCAGGTGCAGAGGAGCAGGGTGGAGGCCGAGGGCCTCCGTGTTTACCCCAGAGCAGTGCGAAACCAAACTTTGTGTACATGAGTTCGCATTTTACGTAGACGAGAGCAGGTGTGTCCGTGAACTTGTGGGAACGGGCGTTAGCGAGGGAGTCGCTCAGGGTACGTCAGGGACCTAAACAAAACCCCCAGCCTTCCCGGCGCTTCTGCATCAGAGGAGAGTGACGATCACGAGTCAGGTGTCTGCATATTCCATGTAATGGAGAAGAGCGCAGGGGAGAGGGGAAGCCGGTGTGGGTTTCTGGGATCCTTTGGAATCTGAAACACAGTGGGGCTCATGCGCCTCTCTAGGCACTTGGGTGGAAACAAAGATTTTCATCATCATTGCGCTGCTCCCTTTGAGGCTTGTTCTGAAAACACAGTGTAAGGTGTTTCCTTAACTCTAAGGCTGTTTGGGGCTGAGAGTCGGGCAGCAAAGGGCCCGGGCTGCTGCATGGCATTTTGTAGTCCCAGAATTTTTGCGCTGTACCCATGGTGCACTCCCCCGGGTGGGGGAACGAGCCGGAAACCTGCCCAGGCAGTAGGGATGGAACCTTGAGCTTGACCATTGAAGGGTCGCAGATAGATGACGCTAAGGGAGCGAGGAGCACTGGTGAGGGGGGGAAGCGTCAGAGGAGGAGGGGGCCTCCGGGGAAAGAGCTGCGTTCAGGGTCACGGAGCTGTCCTCGGACCTGCTCTTTTGGGGAAAGCCCTGTTAGTTCTCGGAGGTCCGTGCTGGTGGGGCAGGTGGCGTTGGGGCTGGGGCGTGAAGGGGCATGTGTGCTCAGCCTTCTGGGGACTGGGAAGCTAAACGTCTCTGAGTGCGGGCCGGGGAGGAGGGCCTGGCTGCGGGGGTGTTGCCTGGGCGGGTCTGGCATCTTCTGCAGCTCAGGGATGGTCAGCGTGGGAGGAAGGGGCGGCAGTGTCTGGTTCTTGCTTCTGGCCGCAAGGCCCCCCCGCCCCTCCTTGAGTCGCAGCAGCATGGCTGTGTGCGGCTTCGTACCCAAGCCAGGGACCAGATTCTCTGGGCAGCCTGGGAGGGGGCTGGAGACAGACCCGGTTCCTTCTCAGCAACCCCGAGGGGTCGGCTTGGGTTAAAAGATCCAGCTTGCTCACTCTGGACTGCAGACCTTTTCCAGAGACTTCCTGCCCCACAGAACCCTGGCCCTGCCTTGGGGGCTGGGGGTGGGGTGACAGCGGGGGACGGTCCACCAGCACATCTAGCTGGTCCCACAACCGTGTCCCCCGTCAACCAGTCTGCCCCTCTCCCACCCCAGGCCTGGCTATGTCGCCAGCGAGGAGAGCCGCATCCTCGTTCTCACTGAGCTGCTGGAGAGAAAGGCCCACTCCCCATTTTACCAGGAAGGTGTGAGCAACGCCCTGCTGAAGGTGGCCGAGCTGGGGCTGACGCGGGCAGCCGGCGTTCTCCTGCGCAGCGGGGCCAACCTCGACTTTGAAGGTCAGCTGGAGCAGAGGGGCCCCGGGCGGGTTGGTGGCCTGCGCGTGGCTGTGCTGTGGCCGGGCAAATGCGTCTTCCGGCTCCGCCTTTATCGTTCGCTTGGGGGCTACCTCCCTCCCCTCTTTCGTGGGTGGCCGCCAAGGAACCCCTTCCCACCTCTGGCCCGAGAGGCAGTTTGCGGCTGCCCGCGCCGCGTGCCCGATCGCCAACTTTCTCGGCTCCCCGCGTGACCCCTGCTTCCGTTATCGGGAAAATGTGCCCAGAGCGCAGGGAGAGCGAGTTCTGCCACCCATTCTGAGCCGTCTCACGTTTTTGCTCATGCCAGGGGGAGGGGGAGGGGGAGGACACACAGCTACACTCGGTGGAAGTCGTGGCAGGAGCGGGTCAACCGCCAGCTTGTGAGCGCGGTGGGGGCGGAGACGGGGCCGCTCCCCTCCTCTGGCTCGCCCACCGGGGAGGGCAGGGCCAGCCAGGAGACACTCAGGGCCCACTTGTGACCAGACGGGGGTCTGGGGGCTGACCCAGGACGCGGCCAGGCCTGCCTCCCCTCCCCATCTGATGACAAGCTTAGAGGGCGCTGGGCTCCCAGGCTCCCCGAGGGCCAGCGAGGAGCTGAGCGCGGGCGCTGCTGGAAGTCAGTCACCTGGACGCTGGCTCGGAGAACGTGCCGGTGACTGCCAGCGTTGAGGAGCTGTCACTCTGGGCGCTTCTCCCAGCAGCTCCGTTGTACGGCAGAGTAAAGCCCAGACCGATTCCCTGCCCCCGCACGAGAATGGCCCCGGGACCCTGACCTAGGTCTGACTCCAGAGCTAGCGCTCTGGCCTCTGATGAGGACGGCTGTGTCCTGCCCCTGACCCCTGGTGGTGACGGGGCCTGGGCCACCCCAGGGGCGGGGAGTGTGCTGGGGCTGAGACCAAGGCCAGGTCCAGGGGTCCTGCAAGGAGGAGGGGACAGGCAGGACTGCCACCAGCTGTGTCTGTGCCTTCAGACCCCGTCACTTACTACACGGCCCTGCACATCGCTGTCCTGCGAAACCAGCCCGACATGGTGGAGCTGCTGGTGCGCCACGGGGCCGACATTAACCGGAGGGACCGGGTAAGGGCCAGGCCCAGCCTGCTTGCAGCAGGGAGGCAGTCCGGGGGGGAGGGGGGGCACGAGCAGCCTGGCGGCCCCGGGGCCCACTCGGCTGTGCTCTGTCGCCTCAGATCCACGAGAGCAGCCCCCTGGACCTGGCCAGCGAGGAGCCCGAGCGCCTGCCCTGCCTGCAGCGCCTGCTGGACCTCGGAGCAGACGTCAACGCAGCCGACAAGCACGGTGGGTGCTCCTGCGGGGGAAGGGGGGAGAGCCGCACCAGGCGCCTCGAGGAGGAGGCCCGGAGTGCCCCAGGACGGCGTGCGGGCCGTAGGTGCATTTTGCCGGCCCGCAGAGGCTTTAGGGAGGCGGTGCAGCCGGCGGCCCCAGGCCACGGCCCGCGAGTCTCCGTGCAGGAGGAGGTGGGGCGCGTGCGCTCAGATTCCGACTGGGAGCTGTGGCTCCTCGCTGGGGAGGCCGCGGCCCAGGCCTCAGGTAGCATCGGGGTGTATGGAAACCTCCCGCCTCTTGTCCATTCTGTTCCTGGTTTTATGTGGGTGGAAAGAGAATGACCAGAAACCTGTCCCCCTCGGCCCGAGCTCTGAGAGGTTGGTCCTTCTTGAAGTTCACTTTCTGGGGGTGCCTGGCTGCGACCCGTGACCTTAGGGTCATGAGTTAGAGCCCCACGTTAGGTGTAGAGGTGCATGGGGCACCTGGGTGGCTTGGTTGGGTGGCTGACTCTTGATTTCAGCTCAGGTCATGCTCTCAGGTTTGTGGGATCGAGCCCTGAGTAGGGCCCCTTGCTGACAGCACAGGGCCTGCTTGGGAGTCTCTCTCTGCCCCTCCCCTGCTCATACACACATTTCTCTCTCCCTCCCCCTCCCTCCCTCTTCCCCCCACTCTCCCCCCCACCTCAAGATAAATAAACTTAAAGAAAAAAAAAAAAGGTCTTTGGACAAAAACAAAACCAAACTTCACTTTCTGGAGGGACTCGGTTGAGGGTCCAACTTCGACTCAGGTCATGATCTCCCGGTTCGTGGGTTCAGGCCCCGCGTTGGGCTCTGTGCTGACAGCCTGGAGCCTGCTTCCGGTTCCGTGTCTCCTTCTCTCTCTCTCTGCGCCTCCCCTGCTCACACTCTGTCTGTCTCTCTCTCAAAAATGAGTAAACATTAAAAATTTAAAAAAAAAAAAAAAAAGTAACGACAACAAAGTTCACTTTCTGATCTTCTGTCCCCTGCACCGCAGGGGGTGGCCCTGACCTTGGCCTCCTGGCCCACACCCCCCTCATGCTCTCTCTGTAGGAAAGACCGCCCTGCTGCACGCCTTGGCCAGCAGTGACGGGGTGCAGATCTATAACACCGAGAACATCCGGCTCTTACTAGAAGGAGGTGAGGCTCGTCCGCAGGCCTTTCCCTGTGCGCTCGCTGTTCCCTGTTAAACAGCACTTCGCAGGGGGCTAAGGTCTTCTCCCGCCCTTCTCTTTCCCCAACCGGCCCTCGCAGGGGCAGACGTCAAGGCCACCACCAAAGACGGGGACACCGTGTTCACCTGCATCATCTTCCTGCTCGGGGAGACCGTGGGAGGGGACAAGGAGGAGGCCCAGATGATCAGCCGCTTCTGCTTCCAGGCCACACAGCTGCTGCTGGCCCACGGCGCCGACCCCAGCGAGTGCCCGGCCCACGAGTCCCTCACCCACATGTGCCTCAAGGGCTTCAAGCTGCACTTGCCTCTCCTGCGCTTCCTGCTGGAGTCGGGAGCCGCCTACAACTGCTCCGTCCACGGTGCGTCCTGCTGGTCCGGCTTCCACATCCTCTTCGAGAGGCTCTGCTCCCACCCAGGCTGCGCCGAAGACGACAGCCACGTGGACCTGCTGCGCAAAGCCGAGACCGTCCTGGACCTCATGGTGACTAATTCCCAGAAACTCCAGCTGCCTGCAAACTTCGACATCCACCCTGTGGGCAGCCTGGCCGACAAGATCCGGGCCCTTCACTTCTCCTTGAGGCAGCTGGAGAGCTGTCCCCCGTCCCTCAAGCACCTGTGTCGCGTTTACATCCGCCTCTATCTCCAGCCCTGGCCGGTGGACGTGAAGGTCAAAGCCCTTCCTCTGCCGGACAGGCTGAAGTGGTACCTCCTTAGTGAGCACAGCGGCAGCGCGGAGGACATCTGACTGCGCCCCGGCTGACGGGAGCGGGGTCTGGGCAGCTCAGCCATTGGCAGATTTCGGCACCTGCGGCAGCCTCGGGGAGAACCTTCGGGCCTTCTGGCTGAGGGTACGGGTTGGGCGACGAGACTTCATCCTCACTGAGCACCGAGGAAACCAGGTGGAGCCTGGCGGCTGCGGTCATTCCAGGAGGAAAAGGCTCTGTCTTCCAGGGGGACCGCCCTCCCCGAGCGTCGACCACACTGGGCAAAGGGACAGGGTTAGACTTGGGGCAAGTGTCCACTCTTCAGTTTGCGGGGAGCACTGGGCAGGGTAGCTCCGAGGCTAGGTCCTGCCGAGAGCCGCGGGAGGCTGGTCCGTCCTGCGTGGGGCCCAGCTGACGCCATGGGGGGCCTGTCGGGGGCACCCCACACACACTAGAGGAGGTCACTTCCCGAAGTGCTTTGGGGGAGTAGGGAGAAGGCCGAGCCGACGCCTGCTGCCTCTGGCGGCCCTGGGGCCCGGTCACCTCCGGCCGTGGACTGGGCTCTGGTGGTGACTCTGTGCCAAATCCGGGGCCCTGGGGACCGTGCCTTCTGCTGAGAAGTAATCCTGCATGGCTGGGGACTGCCCTTTCCGAAACGTCTCAATTTTGTGAGGGGCGCATCAGATGGAGAGCACCACCAGCACTGACCGCTGTACACGCTGCACCCGCACCGAGCCGAGTCCGTGTCATGTGGGTCACCGAATGGTGTCAGTGCCTTGGAAGGAAGCTGACACAAGTAAATGGTTCATTTTAACCTTGAGACATGATCCTTGGCCTTCAAGATCCTCAGAGGACATTCTGGCCCCTCCGCGCCCCCGCCCTGACTGAAGGTAAAGGCTCCCACCGCCGCCATGGGGAGGGGAGGTGACCCGGCCGAGAGTAGGGCCACACCGTGTCAGCCAGGACAGCCCTGCTGCACGGCACGGAAGGGCACTACTCCAGGACCTTCCCGGTAACGGGGTTCACCCTTTTATTTTGTGACTTTTGAAAATTCACCAAGAAGCCGCCGCAAGGCACAGCCTGGAGTGAGGCTACAGCCGCCCCTCGCCATAGACTGTTGTGACCATCATGTTAGGGACACCAGGGCTCCGTCACCAAGCAGGACTCGGAACGCGAATGCCCCCAGCAGCGGCAGGAGGCGCTGCGAAGGCACAGATGGCCATAGGCCCCGCTGCCCGGCCCCTCTCCTCCCGCCCTGGGAAAAGTCCTCAACGGCCAAGAGTTACTCTCCAGGCGTCGGGCCTGTGACCGGAAGGCCAGGCGGTGGTAAGGGCGATCCAGGGACTCTCAGGGGCCCGGGAGTCACATGGGTCTGCGCCGGGCCCCTGCCCCTCAGGGCAGCAGAGCCGGACTCCGGCCCCCCTGCTCCATCCGGCCGCGCCCTTCCCCACAGGGTCCCATCATGCCTTGTGAACAAGTCTCATGAGGATGGCATGCGGGTGTATTGAGGCCTTGCTCGGTGCCCCCGTTGTGGAGCCTGGGTCTTGCCCGCCTGCCGGGCCCCACCCCCACCCCACGCTGGTCCCTTGCTCCTGCCGGCCGCTGCTCATCTCAGTGCCAAGCTGTAGACGTGGTAGATCTCGTCCGGAAGGTTCTCCTGGCGCTCCTGGGCTAGGAGGCTGAGGCCCGCGCTACGGATGATCCCGTGGACCACCTCAAGGCCCCGGCACACGCTGCTGTCCACGTCGTCCAGGACCACGCCCTCCTGGGCCATGTTGTCCTTGATGACGATGATGCCATTGGGGCGCAGGCCCTGCTTGCAGCGCCGCAGGAAGGCAGCCAGGTGCTGGTCGGTCAGGTGACCTGGGGACAGCAGAGGCTGGGGTCACCAGGGAGCGGTGCGAGAGTGTCCGTGCCACTGCCCGTTCCCCTCCAGCTTCCTGCCTCAACGGGCTCCTCTCCTGCTCTCAGCATGCAGGGAGGTTTACCAAACCCCAGGTTATGTTGGAGCAAACCGGCTCAGAAGTTACCCGCCCAGGGCGCTCACCAAGCGCGCAGCTGGGATCTCACGTCCTCGGCGACCTGTGGGCCCTGCCCCGCACCTACGCCCCGTGCCCCCGTCAGGCCCGGTTTACGGGAACCGCACCAGAGCTTCTTCCCTAATTAAAGCTCCAGACAGGCTTTTGAGGACAGAACACAGGGCCAGACCCGGCGTGTCCCCGGCAGGTCTGCAGAGTGGATGGCCTGCCAGCCAGGTCACCGGCCCAGAAAGCATGCTGGGTGTGTGGCCCGGCTAAGCGGGGGCAAGATGGGGTGGCAAGTGCAGCCTGATCACTGTGAGCAGCAGGGGGCCAAGGCTTCCGTGTTTCCTCTTACTGAAGACGCTGGGGTGCCAGGCGGCTCAGTCATGTAAGCATCCGACTCTTGATTCTGGCTCAGGTCATGATCTCACGGTTTGTGAGCTCAAGCCCTGCGTCAGGCTCTGTGCCAACAGCATGGGATTCTCTCCCTGCCCCTCCCCTGCACATGTGTACGTGCTCTCTCAAAATAAATAAACTATAAGCTCACTTCCACTTTCTTAAATGCAGTTCTTGGGGCTCCTGGGTGGCTCAGTCGGTTTAGCATCTGACTCGGCTCAGGTCATGATCTCGCGGTTCGTGGGTTGAAGCCCCGTGTCAGGCTCTGTGCTGATAGCCAGCTCAGAGCCTAGAGCCAGTTTCAGATTGTGTCTCCCTCTCTCTCTGACCCTCCCCTGCTCACGCTGTCTCTTTCTCTCTCAGAAATACATTTAAAAAAAAATCTAAATGCAGTTCTTGGTCATTTACGGTTTTTCAACAAAAACCTGCCCCCTAAACGGGTCCTACCACAGGTATCAACAAAACACAGAAAGGGTACTTGCAGGGAATGTCTCCCACAGTCCTGGCGGGCCCAGGGAGGACTGGAGAAGGCCCCAGGGGCCCCGTCTATGCAGCAGGAGGTGTGTGGAAGGCAAAGGGGCCGCGGAAGGCTCACCTATCACCCACTGGATCCAGATGACATCATAGGAGTCGGGCTCGGGGCTGAAGTCCTGGAGGCCACAGCAGAAGTAGTTCCTCACCCTCTTGCCCTCCTCCCCCAGGTAGGTCTTGGCCTTGACCAGGAAGTCTTCCGTCACGTCCACCATGTCCACCACTCCGAAGAGCGGCAGGAGCAGCCGCTTGGTGATCCTGCCGATGCCGGCTCCGCAGTCCAGGGCAAAGGAGGTCCCCGTCTTGTCCGGGCCTTCCTAGGAAGCGGGGAAGGCACAGACCCCATGAGGAAGGCTCAGAAAGCCAGGGGGCCCTGTGGCTCCATCAAGAGGCGGTTCCTCCCGAGCTCCCAGTTACTCGAGTCAGGACCGGGCACAGCCTGGGGGGCTGGCAGGCTTGGGGTGGTCAGCGGTAGGAGCGCGCACGGCACCCTCTGGTCCCGGGCCACACGTTTCTAAGATGAAAGCCAACTTCCACGTGCAGGTGGGCACCAGAACAGGTGTGTGTGATTCCTCTTATTCCCGAGACCCCGTTAAAACGACAGGATGAAAAGAACTCAGGCAGTGAAAGAATGGAAGGGCAGCCAGGGAGTCTCGCTCATTTTCACAGATCTGGAAAGACGGAAAGTGGGCGAAGACCTCGGAGCATGGGTAGCAAGCAGCAGCCCGTGATGCTCACTAGGGGAGGGGTGAGGAGGAGGGGGCACAGGGAGATGCCACCCTGGCCCAGAGAAGGGCAGAGGGGGAAGGAGGGGCGAACTGGGAGGCTGCCAGCTGAAGCCGAAGAGCCAGCATCCCCGGCCCCGCTGGCTGCGGACACGGCGGGACAGCCAAGGACTTGCCCTAGCAAAACGGAGCAGCTGACGGGAGACCCCGTTTGGGTGTCTGGAAGCCCCGGCACGGCGGCCCGTGCCTGTCTGGCGACCCGGAGACAGAGGCCCCAGTCCACACGCCACCCCCGCCCGGGGCCCTTGAGGCCTGGGTGGCTAATGCCAACAGACAACCAAAGGCCCAGCGGCGGTGCGCATAGGAGGTGGCGCCCCTGCAGCCCAGGCGGGCCGCGTCCTCGCTCCTGGAGAGCACGCCAGACCCGCCTACCCGCAGGAACCTCTGCAGGAACTTCCGGGAGCTGCTGATGTCGATGCCGGAGATGTGGCCGTACCCCCCGAGCATGCCGTCCACGGTGGGCGGGACTTCCTTCCAGTACGTCTTGGCCTTTGAATAGAACTGTTTCTCATCTTCTATCACCTCACTTGTCATGCTGTCACCAGCCGACTGGGCTCAGGCACCACACTCGGCAGCAGTGCCTCCTGAACGAGAGAAAGAGCAAATCAACCAGGTAGAGGCCCCAGGCTCCACGGTCACACAACCCTGCCTGATGCAGACAAATGTCCCATGTCCTCCAAACTGCTACATGCGGTGGGTGACAGGGCCTTGCCTCTTGTATTCAAGTCATTTTGCAGTTACCTTTGTATCCAAGGAGGGGACCCAGAGTCCTGGGCTGCGAGTCTGTTCCCTACTGTGCGTGTCACCTGACCCCATGTTCTCACCCTAGGCTACAGGGAACCCCAATCTGCACCCGAGGGAAGCGAGGCAAAGAACCCCAGCCTTCCGCAGTGGGCGTCCCGGCTGGTCCTGGGGAGGGGGGCGGGGGAGTCCGCACACCCCCCTTCCTGTCTCGTGAGCACAGACCGAAGCTTACTGTGGGGCCCCGGCCTTAGTTAACCACAAACCGGACTCGGCGTCAGGCCCTGTGCTGGGAACCCCTGCACACACACGTTGGCGACGCTGCAGGGCCACAGACAAGGCCAAGAGGCGGGCCGGCACGCCCTGGAGGAGGCACTTCCCTGGGGAGACAAAGAAGGAATCCCTGGGGATGATGCAGGTGGAACTGAGGAGGAGGAAGCGTTCACGAAGCCAGGGGCCAAGCCTGCTCCGCGGAGGAAGGTGCGGAAGGTGCACGGAGAGCCCTTGCAACTTTCCGGCGGGTAGGGGTGCGGACGTTAGATCAGACTCCTCCCTAAAGAACAGGGAGCTTGGACTAGTCTAGGTTAAGCAGGTAGATGTGTTCTGGAAGACTGCTGACAGCTGTGTGGGACCTGGGCAAGAGTGAAAGCGGACGGGAAGACAGGGTGTCAGGGTAGCAGGGGGAGGGGCAACCTCAAAGCAAAAGCCAGGGCCTGGGGTGGGGGAGGGCCGGAAGGGTCACACCTCTACCCTGAGGCACCACAGGCTCATCTAGATAAAGCCCGAGAGAGCTTCCGACCCTCAGAGAGCTTCTGGTCCAGCAGGAGAGAGAAACAAGCGGAATGAATTAAGACACAGGCAGAAACGGCGTGGACTCTCACTGAGCCACACGTGCTGTGGGGACTCAGGGCGGCAGACGAGGCAGCAGCCGAGCTCATCCCTCAAAGGCCAGGGATGCTGGGGGCGGGGAGGGCACAGACCGCGGCACTGCTGGCCCGGCGCGCAGCCTGGTGACAGCCTGGGCCGGCTGCCATGCAGACCGAGCATGGGGGTGTTCTGGGAGGTGAGCTTCGGCAGATGGGGCCTGGATTGCAGGGGGCCCCAAGGATGGGTGGGGGGCCGTGGGCCTAGCCTGTTGGAAATGGGAAACCAATAGGCTGAGAGTTTCCAAAGGGCCCGAGGTGGGGGCGGGGCCGCAAGCTGCAGGGGTACCACTGGCACACTGGGAATGCAGGAGCTGGGGAGAGGAGTGGTGGCACGCACGCGCTTCCCATCGGCCACCGGGTGGCCACAAGCAACCGTGAGCACGCCGCCTCGTCCTGGCAGAGCAGAGGGATGTGATGCAGGGAAAGCCGAGTGCCTCGCCCAGGATAAGGGGGCCGAGCTCCTCCCTCTCGGCCACGAACTCCAAGGCCGTCGGTGACCAGCCCAGTCCAGGGGCCTCCTCCGCGCCGGGTCCAATCCGCTGGCTGCCTTCAGACCCCGTACCTCCATCTGAAGTTACATCACTGACTCACCGTCTAGTGCCCCCTGGGATGGAAGCTCCGGAGGCGTGACCTGGCTGTTTCACCACTGTGTCCCCCCAGCAGCAAGCCCCCGTGAGTCCCTTAGCGCAGGGGTGAAAGACCCCGATCCGCCGCCTTCACTCCACCCCACTGGGCAGCCGCAAAGTCGCTGACGCCTGGAACGGGGCAGGCCTCGCATGGAGCCCCGGGGTAGTGCTCAAACCAAGTGAAAACCCCTCGGATGGAGGGCTGCTCTAAGGACCCGAGACAAGTACTCGGACAGGAAGTAGAAAAGTGCCCCGAGAACAGGCACGCAGCCCTCAAAACAGAATTCAGAGACTATGAGAGAAGGACACGGAACAGACCACGAGAAAAGCTGAGGAATTTTCCCTGGCCACGTTCATTACTAGCCTAGCCCCTGCTGCACAACTGTACTCTCAACTTGTCCTACTCGACAAGGAACCTTCCAGCAGCAGCAGACCCACCTCTGCCCAACAACTCAGGGATGCTCCTCACCCATGCCATGCTGCCTCCACCCCAGTGAGCCCTTTCCAGGCAACCCTGCCAGCCAGCAGGGCCACTGGGGGAGGGCCCTCCCCCCCCATCCCCGGCTCCTTCCGGGACTCGGACATTCCTCACCGACTCGGCCACACACTGGCCCTCTGAGGAACCAGAAGGGAACCGACAGCCCCCACGTGCCCTGGCAGGTGCGATTCTCAGGTCTGTGACTGTCCCTGTTTCTGCCCTCTAGAGCCCTTCTGCTGTGCAGACTCCTCCAATCAGTCCTCAGATTCTCGAACCAGCTCTCAGCTGACGCTCTGGCCCGCTGCTTTGGCTCCGCTGTTCGGGTACAAGGGTCTGGGACACAGTGAAGACAAGTCCCAACGACCGTGGCAATCAAAGAGTCCTGGGAGAGGCGACAGGCTGGAGGGCCCTGGTTCTAAATTCAGCATCTCTTCACGCTGGCTCGCCGCCATGTCCCCCCTCAGCATCCTTGCACCTGAGACGGTCCCCCCACTCAGACGGCGCAGCAAGAAAACATTCACTCTGACCCTGAGATATATGGGAAGCAAAAGAACGCAGAAGCCTCCCGATACCCAGGAATGCCAGCAGTGGCAGAGTGGATGTCACTGTTAGGTCCCCAGGAGCTGACAAGAAAGAGGGCCACTAGCCCAAATGTCAGCAAGGTGCTGGGGGTGGAGCTGCGCAGCCCCACCTGCAGGCCCCACGGCCACCACTACCTGGGACGGATGCCATCGGAGCCGGCTCTCCCCGGGCGTGCTGGCAGCGCCCCCACTCAGCACTCATGCTGCAGCTCGGACCCTGTCCCCTCCACGCCCACTGGTCATGGCGACCGCCAATTTTGTCCTCACAGCTGTCTCCCCACTGGCCTGGGAGCTCGCTGGAGACCATCCGGGGCTGCCTGAGCTGTCCCTGGATTTCTCCTGCACTGCACGCAGCACAGGGGCCGTCAACAGAAAGGTCACTCCCGGCCAGACGACCAGGATGGGGGGGGCTGGGCCCCCCTCACCCCCCACTGTCTCTCTCTGCCCGTCTGCCTTCCCTCCTAGGAGGTAAGCTTCCTGGAGGCAGGGACACGATCCTAAACCCCCTTACCGCAGCCTGATTCAAGGCGGCTGTTGGCTAATTGGCTGCTGAATGAACCAGAGAACGAGCTTTGTGTGGCCACGGTCATTTTCCACCTTTAAGAAAGTCCTACAGAAATTCAACCACTCCAGACTGGTAACACTAAAGCCATTACCAACAGTGTCGTTTTCTGCTTTACCAAAAGCCTTCCGACATGATTCCTTTAAATGTCAAGGTCGTCTGAATCATCTAATTTACAAGAACTCCACTGACAGGCAGATTCTAGGAACGGGCCAGAGGAGGGACGTCTAGGCCGGGAATGTCTAGGCCGGGAAACGGCTAAGATAATTCTGATACTTGTTCCAGCAACCGATCCATTAGTAAACGCGACTCCGCGGGGCCCTGTCTAGGCTCCGTCTCCCAGCGTCCAGACTGCAGTGGGCAGGAGGGCCCGGGGCGTCAGGCGGAAAGGTCGGAAAGGTCGTCGGTGGAACAGCAGGAGGTCCCCGTCCTCTGGCAGGGCTGGGGTGAGGGGCTGGTGGCGTGGCGACAGGGACGGGGCCCAGTGTGGCTTCCTGCGCGCGCCAGGTGAGCTGGGCTAGGAAGAGAAGCCCTTCGTGCACAGTGGGCTCTGCCCTTCAACAGGCGGGACGTGGCCGTGCACCTGTCCCGGTCATCCGGCCACCACCTCTTCCCCTCCAGGGGGTTCAGGGGAGGACAGGGGGGCAGCTGCCCCAGCTCCCACTTCTCCCAGGACGCCCGGAGAAGAACCGTGTCCGAGCCGCCCTGTCAGCACCTGGTGGAGGCATCACATCGTTTTCATCTACCAGTCTCTCCGCAACAGCCTGGAAGCAACGGGAGGCCAGAGTCTGCCTGGGGTCCCCTCCTCCCCCTCCCTGGGTCTGGGACAGGGCTGGACATATGGGAATGGCAAGGTGCTCCATGATGAAGAAAGAAAAGGAAGGAGGAAGAACACCCCCCCACAAAAAAATAGACGGGTGGGGAGGGGTACATTTAAAAACAAACTAAGGCTCTGGGGCGCCTGGGTGGCTCAGTCGGTTGAGCGTCCAACTTCAGCTCAGGTCATGATCTCATGGCTCGTGAGTTCGAGCCCTGTGTCGGGCTCTGGCCTGGAGCCTGCTTTGGATTCTGTGTCTCCCTCTCTCTCTGCCCGTCCCCTACTTGCGCTGTCTCTCCCTCTCTCAAAAATACGTTAAAAGATATTTTAAAAACTTAAAAAAAAAAAAAAAAAAGGATCTAGTGGAGTCAAATACACCAGGTCTGAATCCTAACTTTGCTTCTCACTGGCTGAGTAAGCTCAGATAAGACACTTAACTTAGTCAAGTGCACTTCTTTATCTACAGAACGGGAACAGCAATGTGGGAAGGCTGGGATGATGAAAGGTAGGCATAAAAGCACCAGGTGATCCACAGAGTGCCACACACATCTTATCTCCCCCGAGTTTAGAAATCTCTGTCAAATGAGTCTCACCAATTCTCACTGCCAATCCTAGAGATCAGACGAGATAACTACACCGAAATGCCCTGTAAACTGTAGAGCGTTAGACGCACCTAAGGGATTATTACCGTTACCCGAGGTGCTGGACCCAGGACACTCAAAAGAGCTCTGCAAATCCGCAGGAGAGGGGCGTGGGACGCCGTCTCTGTGACCTTATGGCTTCTGTGCGCCACCAAAGCCTCCAACCCTCCCCCACTCCCCAGTCCACGACTAGAAAACCAGTGCACTAAAGGAGTGATGTGCCTTAAAACACAGACACACACACGAAACCAGGAAGGGCATGGGGAGAGAACCCACACGTCGATGGACCGTCAAGGCCCCAGTCCTCCCGGGCAATGATTCTATACATCCAGCCCGCCTGCAATACTGCCCCGCCCCCCACCGTCAGGGCCTCTGCCACCCGACGTCTCTACCCCCCACCCCCACGACACCTCCCTCCCGCCGTTGACGGGCAGCTGGGCCTGGGCCTTTCGTTCGAACTGGCAACCCCTTCGCGAACAGGCTGACCTTGGCTCCAAGGGCTCTTGGCAGCGAGCCGTCTTCGGAGCAGCACCTGTGTGTAGCCCTAACCGGGGATGGGTCCAAGGTGAAATAGGATAGCGACCGCCATGCGGCGGGCACTACTCTGCTCTGTGCCCGGCTCTGACCTGGGCATTTTCCTGAGCCCTGACACCTACTCTCCGAGCGCATGCTCTCCTTATCCCCCTTTCTCAAGAGGAAACTGAGGCTCCGAAACGGAAAGGGTAACCAGCTGCGACCCCGGAACGGCTTCGGGGGGGTTGCCCGTCCAGGCTCCGGGTGCCTCGGCCTCCCCCCTTCCACCAGCCCCTAACCCCGCGCCCCCACAACCGCCCCCCGCGCGACCTCTCCGGAACGCGCACGTGGGGCCCCGGCAGCTCGCGCCGGGTCACGTGACGCGCCGGGACCTCGGGGCGCCGAAGCGGTTGGGGGCCGGGGCCTCCTCGGCCCCGCCGGCCCCCGCTCCCCAATCCACCTCGCGCTACTCACCCCGGGCGGGGGCTCCCGGAACCCGGGAGAAGAGGACGAAGACGAGGAAGACGAAGGGAGGGCGGCAGCGAACACCCCAGAAGCCCACAGCCAGCTCGGTCAGACCGCGGACAAACGCGACACCTCGCGGCGCGCGCTGCCTTTGTCCGTACACGTCACTTCCGGGCGCCCGGGGGTGGGGCCGCTACTAGCTCCGCCCCGCGACCGCTTTGCTCCGCCCCGTGGGCGCCTGGATTCAGTTGACTCTCTGGTTCGTGGAAGGAACTCTCAGACTTAAAAGCGCCTCGGCGCTGCCGAGCCTCTCCCTTCTGCCTCCAGTACGTGCACCGGTTCGTTTGGCGGCTGGAGGCTGGACTTTTAAAAACGAGCGTTCTGTGGGTTTTCCACCGGGTAAAAAGAGGAGAGGAGCCTTATTCCTCAAGTTGTACCCATAATAATTTGCATCTTAAAGGAACATACAGATCCAAGAAAGAAAGAGGAAGGGAAGGGAAGGGAAGGGAAGGGAAGGGAAGGGAAGGGAGGGAGGGAGGGAGGGAGGGAGGAAGGAAGGAAGGAAGGAAGGAAGGAAGGAAGGAAGGAAGGAAGGAAGGAAGGAAGGAAGGAAGGAAGGAAGGAATAAGGAAGGAAGGAAACGAAGAAAAGGAAAGGAAGGAAGAAAAAGAAGAAAGAAAGAAAGAAAGAAAGAAAGAAAGAAAGAAAGAAAGAAAGAAAGAAAGAAAGAAAGAAACCCTTGACATTGCCAAAGGGATGCTACCCCAAAGAAGCAGAACAAGTCCTTGAGGTTTCCATTCCAAAAACCCTGCCCTCCCATAGGTTCCTCCCGTATATAGATGTTCTGGAGGGGTACCTCAAAGCAACCTTGATGGAAATATGATGAGTTTGCAGGTGGATAGGCCTGGTGAACCTCTCCAATCTCCTCTTCTTCCAGACCGATGTGCTTACTCACTTTCCAATGTTCTGAGTGTTAAATGTGTAAGATATTGCCGGGGGAGCCTTCAGCCCTGTGCCTGCAGTGTGCTGTCTGTAAAGAGACAATATTTATCAGAAGTTCATTTTTCCTAAACTGATGTCCAGCCAGGTCTTAGATTTACAATGCCTTCCTCTGGGCTTTGCACACTGGAAGTGTGTTTGCTCTAATGACGTGAAAGCTGGGGGAGGGGGGGCAGACTGCAGCTGAGTCCCCCAAATCTGTTTATGTGAATATTATTTGGCATCCTCTCCAGAGTACTCCAGGTCAGACTTGGTTCCGCTGGCCTGGGCCCCTCTCCCAAGCTTCATTTTCCATGTTTCTAAGGGAAGGGAATAAATCCTGAACAATCTCAACTGCTGAGTGTGTAACCTTCCTTTGGGAAGCTCTGAGCCCAGCTCTTCTACAGGTGCCTAAAAACCCACCTCTACCTTTAATTCCAGTCAATGGAACAGAAAGTCCCTTCCCTATACCTGGACGCTGATGGCCCCAAACTCAAAGCCTCTTGCATCTCTGAATCCCCAAACCTTGCACACAGTAGTTGATCATGAAATGTCTGTAGCATACAAGAGCTGGAGGGGTCCTTAGAAATCATGTAGTTAGTCTGGGGGTGTCTGGGTAGCTCAGTCGGTTGAGCGTTTGACCTCATCAGGTCGTGATGATCTCATAGTTCATGAGTTCAAGCCCTGCGTCGGGCTCTGTGCTGACAGCTCAGAGCCTAGAGCCTGCTTCAGATTCTGCGTCTCCCTCTCTCTCTGCTCCTCCTCCACCCATGCTGTGTCTCTCTCTCTCAAAAATAAACATTAAAAAAAATCATGTAGTCAGTGTTCCTCATCCATTTTTTTTTTTTTTAACTCACGCACTCTTAGAATAAATATAAAAAATGTTTGCCTTCCTGGGTGCCTGCCTCTGACTTCGGCTCAGGTCAAGATCTCACAGTTCGTGGATCCAGGCTCTGCTCTGCGCTGATGCGGAGCCTGTTTGGGATTCTTGCTCTCTCCATTCTCTCTGCCCCTCTCCCGTTCATGCTTTCTCTCGAGATATATAAACTAAAAAAGAAAAGTTCACCTTCCCCACTCAATATTCTAACTTCCCAAGGAGGTATGCCCTCCCGTCCCTGGTTGAAGAGTATTTGCAGAAAGTAGAAATACATCAGCTATGCCTCCTCCAGGCCGGCTTGTAAAATTGTCCAATTGTACCATGCCAGAGAAATTGCTGGTCCAAACAGTCCTTCTCTCCCACTCCGAGTTCACAATGCAGACTTCTCCCTTCCCTCCTCCCAGCCAAGAGTCGCCGATGGGGGTCTGACAGTCTGTTTTACCACGGAGCCCTGAGAAAGGCCAGATTGTCCAGCATCGCGAAGCAAACAGGAGCAGAGCATGACCTGGAAACTGGGTCTCTTAGTTTCCAAGCCCACTGCATTCTTACTGCCCAGCCTCGCAGTGGAAGCTGGACTTCCGGACCTACCCAGTCCAGACTTGACCCACCTGGGCCTCCCAAATCCAGAGAGGGTAGCGGAACCCTGGGCCTTTCACCGCTGGCTTGGGCCTGGCTGCTCTGGTCAGGGGTCCAGCCACCCCCTTGTGAGGGCAGCCTTGGCTTTCTGAGCACAAAGCCCCACCCTCTGCCTCCAGGGCTGAAGAGCCCACCGCTCCTCACATGGCCTTGGGTGAGGGGTGGATCACGATGACCCCGAAGAGGCCCGGGAGGCAGCAGTGAGGGTCCAGCCGATGGACCAGGCCGGGAAGATGGGCTCTCCCAAGCACCAGCCCACCGGTTAGGGGGCTCTAAACTCCAGGGACCTTCTCGGGACCCATCCAGAAGCCACACTAGGGTGAGTGTGACACCGGGAGCCAGCTCAGAGCTGACAATAATCTGGTAGTGGGGTGTCATAGGGAGGAACCAGGCTCCAAGACCCCCCAGTGTCAGAGGCTGGGGGCTGGCATGGAGCTCTGTCTCTCAAAGGGGAGGTTTGTTAAAAATATGTGTCTTGGCCCCACCCCAGACCTACTGGGTTAGAACCCGGGGCGTCTGTATTTTCAACAAGCTGTCCACCCAAGGGGCCCTGAGGCCCCAGCAGGACTGGGCAACTGTGGGGCAGGTCTCTCCTTTCAAGCTGCTTCCGGGTTTCCTAATTCCCAGAAGAGTGCTAATAGCATAATAGGACTTGAGCGCTACAAGGTGCAAAGTCTCAAAGAAGCAGGTGCTCCCTTATCCCCATTCTACAGATAAAAACACTAAAGAAAGTTAATCAATTGGCTTGTCCAAGGTTGCAAAGCTAGTAAGTAGGGAACTGAAACGAAATTCTAAGGAACAATTTTTTTTTGTTAATTTTTTTGATGTTTTATTTATCTCTGAGACAGAGAGAGAGAGAGAGAGAGAGAGCGTGAGCAGGGGAGGGTCAGAGAGAGAGGGAGACACAGAATCCGAGGCAGGCTCCAGGCTCTGAGCTGTCAGCACAGAGCCCGTCGCGGGGCCCGAACCCACGAACCGCAAGATCATGACCTGAGCCGAGGTCAGACGATTAACCGACTGAGCCACCCAGGCGACCCAACGGTTATTTTTAAATTAAACAACAACAACAACAACAATGGTAGCAGCGGCTAGCGTTTGCTGAGCACGTACAACGTGCCTGGCACTAGTCTCTGAAATTTACATGTGCTCACTCACCTAAACGTCACAGCAACTGAGAAAGGTGTGTTTTCTTACGTGACCGTGACCATTTGGCAGGTGAGGAAACAGAGGCTGGGCGAGCTCTGGCCTGAAGGCACTCACTGCCTGGCGAGCCAGCGGCGTTACCCCCAAACCACACGACCCCGCCCTGGGCACTATGGCCTGGGGGCTGGTCTGTGCCCTCCTCTGCACTTCACACGGCCCGGCCCGCCCCCGCCGAGGCGTGAGGGATGCCCTGAGCTGAGCGCAAGGCCAGACATGCCCCGACGTCACCCCAACCCCTGGACCCAGCAGGTGGCGCCCAAGGGACTCCCCGGAGACGGCGCTCGCCGGAGGAACGACCCGCTGCTGCCCAAGCTGCCGCTGCCCCAACCCCGAGTAGTATCTAGTGCGGGGGCCCCCACGGGCTCGAGGGCCTCAGGGGGCGACGATGGGTGGTGGCAGTCCTCCGGGGGCGGGTCCCCGCGCCCGGAGCTGGGGGTGGGCGTCAGGAGCGCCCCGCGGCGCCTGCCCACCCTGCCCATCGTGGCCCCGCGGGCGGCTCAGGACTCGACGAAGCTGAGCTCGCTCCTGCTGCCGCCCCTGCTCCTGGCCGGCGCGCCCCGGGCACCCGCGCCCCGGCGCCCCAGGCCTGAGGGAGGCGAGGACCCCTGCAGCCGCTCGGCCAGGGAGGCCCCGCACCCCTTGCTCGCGCTCCTGGGGGAGCTCGTCCCCAGCAAGTTCCGGGTGTTCCTGCAGCGGCTGGGGGCCGAGTGTGCCCTGGCGACGCAGCCGAGTGAGGCCCCGCCCAAGGACCCCCAGGGCGCGGGGCGGGGCGGGGCGGAGTCATTTCTGGAATGAATGAAGCTACTGATAGTTGAGTGTGCCTGGCACAGCCGTGGCGACCCCCTCTTGAGGGCGGGTCTACCATTGCCCCTGTGGTACAGATGAGGAAACTGAGGCCCAAGGCTATATAACTAGGAAGAGCCTAGTAAGGACTGTCCCCAAACGAAGGCCCATAGCTATTTCCCCCTGCTTCTGGCTCCCAGCATCCTCAGCTTGGCAATCAAAAAAGAGTGTGTCGGGGCACTGCCAGCACCCTCTCCAGTGTCCCCACTGTCCAGACCTGCGGTAAGTGTCGCTGACCTGCTGATGGGGACAGGGTTGCCATCAGTGCTCCGAGGGCGGGGACCCTGACCGCTCATGCCAGGTGTGGCTTGTTTGTCTTCAAGGGGCCAGTCATCGTACTTGCAGAATAGTCTTAAGAAGATTGGGCTCCATCAGATACCTGCCCTGGGGACCCTGAGGAGAGATCACCCACAATTCGCCACCCTCAAAAAGGCCAACCAGTGAGTTACGAGAGGGGAGAAAGCACTTCTTCTGTTCTTTCCTCTGTCTTTCACCCGTGAATTTATCCATCTGTCCATCTATACATCCATCTATGTGTCTGTCCATCCATGAGTCAGGTCCTCTGACTACGTGTAATCCATGAATCCTCCCATCCATCCATCCATCCATCCATCCACCATCCATTGATTTATCAATACACAGATCTATCCCAGAAGCAAGTCTCCTCCCAAACTATCCAAGGGTTATCCATCAACATCTTTGAATCCATCCACCCATTCATCAGGTCTTCTACCAACACATTCTTCATCCATCCATGAATCCATTCATATATTCCTGCTCCCATTCACCTATCCATCTTTGCATACATCTTCTCTGTGAACCAGGTCTTCAACAACCCATTCATGAATCTCTTCATCCATCCATCCATCCATCCATCCATCCATCCATCCATCCACCCATTTATCCATTTATCCATCCATGAATCAGGTCTCCTGTTGATCCATCAGTCCATCCATTCATCCATCTAGCCTGTCATCCCTCTATCCACAAACTCTGACAATTCTATCCACCCATCCGTGAATCCAATGATCAGTCATCTACAAACCCTTCCATGCACTTGTAAATCCACGATACTGTCCATCTGTAATCTGGTTATAAAGCCAGATAGGAGTCCACATACCTATATACATGCGCATTCATCCACCATCCATACATCTACCCATCCTCCTAAGACCCAGTCCTATTCAGACCTTTTCATGAACTCATTCATCAGACCATCCATCCATCCACCCACGCAGTCCTTCATCCTTTTACCCACCCCATGATTCATTTGTCCATTTCTTCCTCTAACTCTAATTAGATTTTACTATAGGTCAAGTATTGGGAAAAATAAGATAAGGTATGGACGTTGGAGAAGAGCCCCGGGCCTTAGAGCTTACCTGGACTCGATCCCACAGCTCTAATACAGAGGAAAAAGAATGCAGAAAAAATTCCTCCAGCATAAACAGGCTTAAGCAGCGGTGAAAGGTGGAAAACCTTGCCCATGAGTTTAAAGACCAAAGAGTAAATACGTAACATACATGCCATTCCTTCTCATTCTGGACCCGTGGCTGACAGTAGTATTGGATCGCAGCATCTCCCTCCCCCGCCCCCCTGGGCCTTGAACCCTTCCTGACACAGTGCTCCAGGCCTGACATCACCAACGGATCCGAGTAGGTACCAGAAATGAAACTAATTTGCCCACCCAGGAACTTGAAATCAGTCGGGCCAGATAAACACACTTCTCACAAGATATAGTAAGTAAAAGGACGGAACTTGTTATCTCAACTACAGCAAATGCCAGGGATAGACACAGTCACAGCATTTCACATTCAAGAGCTAATACTTGAGCACCTTAGGGTGTGCCAGATTCCCTGGTAGGCGCTCCCGGGGACACCGGGGTGCGTTGGAATGGGGCCCAGCAGCCTTTGACAGGAGACGCTGAGATTTCAGTCCTGTGGGCAGAGCTGGGGCGCACCCGTGTCTGTCCCTGTGGCCAGCACAGGGCAGGCGTTGATAAGCAGACAGCTGTGGCATTTGCTAGGTCCCGATGACTGAATCCGGGCACTATCTTGACATCTCCTGGCTTCCTGGCTCTTTAATAGGCTGATGATAGGATCCCTTCCGTGTCCACACAGACGTAAAGATGCAGCCAGATATATGGATGCGGATATATCAATACGCAGGTACTTAAAGTTGAATGTGGCATTTTGGAATAACAGATCCGTGAATGGATCAAGCAGGCCCTCCTGTAGCCTTGGCCTTGAGGCTGAAATTAATAACAGTGAACGTAACAGCAACAGATGCCCTTGGTTGAGCACAGGCCCCACGCCAGGCCTGTACTAGATGCCTCAAGTAAGTTATTTGAGACTTAGCAAACTCTCAGAAGGATGCTATTATTATACCTACAATACACCATGTGTCATTGAAAGGGGAAAACTGAAAAATGGAGACGTGAGTGCGGCCTGCCCCAGGTCACGTGGCTGGGAAGGGGCATAACTGAGACTCGTGATTATAAGGACAGTTTGAAGTTAGAGGTGTTTCCTCTGAGCACCCCAAGACCCTGGGCAGATGCTTTGCAACCCATCTCATCTCTGCCCCGCTGTGTGGCGGCCACAGAGATGATTCCCATTTTACAGAGAAAGAAACTGAGGCTGAAAAGAGTTCAGAGCTGAAACCCAGGACGACTCAACCGCCAAGTTCATATCCTCATTCTCTCTGCTGATTGCTTGATATGGAAGAGCACCAGCTCTGTAAGCTTCAGATCTCGGCCCCACCCTTTATGAGCTGTGTGACCTTGGGCAGCTGCAACACATCTCCGTGCCTCGGTTTCCTCATCTGTCAAATGGGAATAATAATCACGTCTCCCAGGGTCGTGCAGGTTCGCTGGGCTAATGTTACGTGCCTGACCCATCGTGCTTTGGAAAGGCCAGCTGCCATGGCCGTCAGCATTCACGGCGAGCTCTGGTCCGGCAGATGAGTGTGGTCCGGGTGGAATGTGGGGCTGGGGGCTCAGCCTGCCCCCTCGCCTCTCTCGGCAGGCCCCACGGTGTCCAGGCCCCCAAGCTCAAGGCTGTGCTCACTCATGGCTCCTTGGGAGACGGCTCGGGGAAGCGTAGGCGGTTCTGCCCCTTCCGCGTGCGATTTGCTGACGAGACGCTGAGGGACACCGCGCTTCGCTACTGGGAGCGTAGCTGCACAGGTAAGCAGACAGGACGGGAGCGCCCCAGGATTCCAGAAAGTTCCAGCCTGGAGCCCGGAGAGGAGAGGCTGGAGCCCTGAGTCCTGGGAGTGAGGGCCGGTCCCTAAAGGCCGGATATCCACTGACCCTCCAGGTTAAGACACCTGAACCAGCTTCTCCGGAGAGTGTGGGGAGGCTCCTCAGGGGCCAAGGGGAGGGTCCGAGGTCCTGCAGACGTTTCCCAATGTGGGTGGCACCAGGCAGCAGCCGCCATGGAGGAAACAATGGCTCCCGGGCCCAGCCCCCATGGAAGGACTTCTTGCGGCCAAGGGTTCCCACGTGCCATGCCCACCCCGGTTGGGACAGTCCCCACAGCCTCCTGACCTACGTCCAGCCCCCTCCATGGCCTACAAGGGCTGAAGAAGATGGGAAGGCACCAAAGCAGCTTCTCCCCATATCCACAAAGGCCTGCCTGGCTGAAGGGATGCCCAGAAAGGTCCAGAAGATCAAACCTCCTCTCAGGAGGAGGGTGGTACTGCCTAGTCTGCCCAAGAATCTGGGGGCCACCAGGCCTGGGTTCCGGGATGGAAGTTTCCTCTCAGCTCTTGGGGGGCGGGGGATGGATGTGGTAGCGTCTGCTTTGGCATAGTTTCTGGTGTTTTCTAAAGTAGGAGTCAAGAGGGGCGCCTGGGAAGCTCAGTCGGTGAAGCGTCCGACTTCGGCTCAGGTCATGATCTCGCAGTTCGTGGGTTCGAGCCCCGCGTCGGACTCTGTGCTGACAGCTCAGAGTCCAATGTTTGCTTCAGATTCTGTGTCTTCCTCCCTCTCTGCCTCCCTCTCTCTCAAGTAAATAAACATTGAAAAATTTAAGAGAAAAAAGAAGTAGGAGTCAAGAGGCAGGTTGGGAAGAATACGTGTCCTTGCTCTGGTATGACCTTTATCACCTGCGCCCCCCCCCCCCCCCCCCCCCCCCCCCCCCCCCCCCCCCCCCCCCCCCCCCCCCCCCCCCCCCGTCTTCTCCCTCTGCCCGGCCTCTTAGTCTCCCAGGATCTAGCTGCCCTGCGGCCTCCAACAGCCTGCATCCATTTATTGAGCACCAACTGTGTGCAGTTTCAGGAAAGGCTGCTCCAAAGCCTAGCTGTGGGTAAAGCCCCCCAAATCCAGGGCCTTTGCTGACTCGGAAGGGACCCTACCAGGCCCCCTAAGGTCATAGGAAGCTGCAAAGAGAAGCTGCAGTTTCGCCCAGCTTCCCGTTGCTTGATGGGGAAGGCAAACCCCGAGAGCAGGGGACACGGTGGCTGTGAAGAGAAGCCCGGGGGCCCCCAGGGAGAAATGGCGCGAGAGGCTGTGGTCACATCCCAGGGCCCTAGAGTGGGGCTTGGCTGACGACTTCCCAGCCCTTTCTATCCGGAGGCAGCCCGCAGGGACTTGGGGGTGCCCACGGGGACTTGGGGGTCCCTGACCAGACGGAAGGGCAGCTCTTGGGCAGGAAAGACTCCCAGCCCCTCCAGCCGGGCAGGAACCCCACTGGTGTCTCTGGATTTCGAGGGGGGTGTGGCCGGCCTCCCCACTATGGGAAAGAAGACCCATCTAGGGGCTGCTGCAGGGCTGCATACGCGCGTGGAGGGGCACATTGTGGGTAATAAAGGCAGAAACAGTCACGCAAGGTAGTTTTAAAACCTGAGCCTTCTCTGGAGGCGGCCATAAGGCCCTGGGGAGCCGTGGGTTGCCATGGAGACAGGGTTCTACCCGGCCTTGCCTGCCAGAGGGAGGAGGGGAGTGTGGGGGTGCCGATGGCCCCCTCCCGGTGGAGATCTCACTGGAGGCCTCTCCCCTCCAGTCCAGCAGGGCCTCGTCGCGAATGGGCTAGCCACCCGATCCACGGCCTCAGAACGGGTGTTCCAGAGCGTGGGGAGATGGCTGGAGACTTGCCCCAGAGCCCCGTGCCCCAGGGCCGAGGAGGAGGCTGCGGCCAGCATCTGGTTGGTCAGGGACTGCCCTGAGCTGTGAGGCTGGGGGTGGGGGGGGAGCAGGATCCATATGCATTTCCAGGGCGCCCCCTCCTCACCCCGTAGACTTCTCCATCCACAGGCTAAGAGCCTGGGCCTCTGAGCCATGGTGGCGGGGGGTGGGGGGCGGGAATGGGGATTCGGGGTCCACGCAGCTCACAGGCTTCTGTTCTCCGCAGGCCCCCCCAGAAGCCACAAGGTTACCTCTCTAAGGATGCATCCATGAACAGCAGTCTGCACTTCGTCCCCAGGGCCACCACCCAGAGGCCGCAAAGTGGCCTCAAAACCTTCCTGGGCACCCACAGCAGCCTGGAGCAGGTGGACGGACTGCCCGGCTCCTGGGGCCAGAAGCTGGTAAGCATCTGCGGGCAGCCACGCCCCTAGAGGACCCCGCCCAGCGGGGTGGCTGGGGCCCCGGGGGCTAAGGGGTGGGGCGTCCAGATCACAGCCCCGCACACGCCAGCGCTGGGCTTTTCGTTCTCCTCCTCTGTAAAATGGGGCTGACCCCTGCGCCTGTCCCCTTAGGCTGTCGTGGAGAACCTCCCCCCCTGGGCCCGGGGAGCTCCCCGTCCTGGCCAGAGGCCCCACAGGGCCCAGCTGGTCCCCCCCTGTCGCTCCAGGAGTCCTTCCTGCCCAGCCTGGTGCTGCACACGGTCCTGAAGCAAGGCTGCCCTAAGGACCGTGTGCCTTCCGAGAAGGCACAGCAGCCTCACAGGTGAACGGAGCCCAAGCCCGTGGACGCGGGCCAGAGGGTGAGAAGAGCCCTCCTTGCCCCGCGAATAAACGTACATTCCGGGTGGCTGGGACCTGCCGCCGGGTTTCACCCTACGAGGTTCTCCAGGTGCCAGATGGCTGCTCTCTGGGAGTCCCGGACCCAAGGGAGGGAGAAGACCAGGTCGTGGCTGGGATGAGGCTGAGGGGTGCGGCAAGGCTTATTCCAAGCGAACCCCTCTTCTGGAAGGTGGGAGGCCCTGCCACACTTGAAGCCTGGGACCAGGCCTCTGTCGACCGAGATCAGCCCACACCTGCCTCCAGCCCCAGCGTCTAGACTAGAACTAAAAGCTACCTGCTGACCTCCACCATGGGGGGAAGGGCTCCAGGCTCCAACCGCGCGGACAAGTCTCCTGCGTTCCCCTAGGCCAGGTTCACACCCCCCGGTCCCCGGAGGGCAAGCCTCAGGATGGGCGGGGCGGAGGAGGGGGCGGCCGCAAAATCACAGAATCGAGAGGCGGCGCGAGACAAGGTGGAGGTGATGTGACCGCGGCACCGACCCAGCACCGTCACCCCCATACAGCCGTCCGCCAGGCGTGGCCCTGCCACACCTGTGTTCCAATCTCCTGAGCGAATTTGAGCCCCCTTCCCTCGGTCCTCGAAGCTGCGCTTGGGCCCCAACCCCCGGGCCTTGCCGAGGATCCAGGTCTTTAGCGCCACCTCCTGGCCAGTGAGGAAACAGCCACGGAATCCACACCCAGACTCTCCACTGAATAGGAAAGGATGAGACCTGGCGGGGGCGGGGGCGGGGGGGGGGAAGAGAGGGTGCGGACAGTCGGCTTAGATCTTAGGGCCAGGAGGGTAGTGGATGGGGAGGATTTGCTTTGCAGGGGTGCCCTGCTTCCAGAAGAAAGGCCACGGGTCTAGGCAGTTTGGAGAAACGCTGTGGGGAATGAGATGGGGGCAGTGGTCCAACTCCCCTTCCCTGGGGACGGCTGGATGGGGGTTCGATCCCTGGGATGACTCCCCTTCGGCCCCCTTTTCTGCGCTTTCACGACACCCCCACCCCGCCCCGGTGTTTCCATTTCCTGGAGAGCCCGCGGGCCTCAGAGGCGGCCCGAGTCTCCCGCACCCCCTCCCCGCGACCTTGCGCCTCCCCACCTCGCCCTCTCTGAACCTCAGTTTCTCCCGCAGGGCCGAGGCGCGCCCTCGCCCCGCCGCCCGCTGCAGCGCCGCGCCGCGCCCACCAGGGGGCAGTGTTGGCCTGGCTTTGGCGCCGCCCGGAGCCGCCGAAACTTCTCAGCCTCCGACGAAGGGGTTGGAAACTTTTCCCCTCGCGCTGAGCTCGCGACTCCCGCCCGCGCCCTCCTCCTGCCGCTTTCCACCTGCCCCGGGTTCGCGGCGGGCCTGGGGGGCCGCCCCGCTCCCAACACAACTTCTCTGGCTGCTTTTTGTTGCCGTGAAGCCCAAACCGGCTAAGCTTGTAGCAGCGCTGCCGGCGAAGAGCCTGGAAATCGAGGCCCGCGTGGAACACACGAGGGTGGAGGCGGGGGGGCGGGGGGCCGCTGGGACCATCCCGGGGCGTCTGGGGCGGAGGGAGGGGCGCCCTGCTGGGACCTGCACCCCGGGTCCCTCCCCGCGCCCCCGCGCGGCCGCGCCCCTCCCCTCCCGGCCCCTTCCCTGCATGGGCCTCGGCTTGCCTCCCCTCTCTTCCCCCTCCCTCCTGCACAACATGGACTCCGTGTCACGAGGCCCGTGAGCGCGGGCTCGGAGCCCCCATCCGGCCGCTCACGCACCGACACAGACGCGCAGGGACACCCGCAGACAGGCCCGCGGGACCCCGGCGCGCCGTGACCCGCACGCGCACACCCCGCGCCCCCGGAGGCGGGCACCACAGACCACACACGCAGAGGCACACTCACTCACGCGCACCGCATACACCAGACCCACGGGAGACACACACACACACAAGCATCAAACACACCGCACAGACGCCTGGGAAGCAGCACGCAGAGACACCCCGCAAAGACGTGCCCCAGACACCACCCACGCACACAGACCCACACCAGACACACCTCGTGCCCCCGCAGTGCCAGCCTGGGCGCCCCTTGAACGCGGGGTGAGCAGCAAGGAGGCGGGAGGAGGCAGGGAGGGAGGGTGCGGGGAGATGGACGCCTTTCCAGCTGTCCCCAGGTTCTCGGCCCCTCCCTCTTCTGCGTCCTCCCCGACAGCACCCAGGGGCCTCTCCCCTGGGGTCCCCATAGGGCCCTTTCCACTGAGAGCTGACAGGTGGCCAGTCCCTCCTGGGCTCCAGGCAGCCGCGTGTCTGGGTGTCTGGAAGGCCAGCAACGTGGTCGTGGGGGCTTCGGTTCCCCCTAACCTCAGACCCACCTGAACAGACTCCCCGTGGTGGGGGGGGGGGCGGCTCGGCAGGTGGACTCCCCAGGCCCCATTCCATCCCCTGCACCCCGGCCCCTGCCCTGGGCCACATGGCAGACCTGTGTCAGACCCAGGTGGGGGGCCGTGGGGCCTAGGGCTGCTCCTCCCCTTCGAGGTCTCCCTAGCGCGACCTCTCCACCCTGCGAGGGCGTCTCCAGTTTGCTGATAAGGACTCCAGAGCGCAGAGAGATTAGGTCTTGCTCAGGCTGGAGCAGACGTGGGAGCCAGAGCTGGGATTGGGTCCTAAGCCAGCGCCCAGTCTCAGGCTCCTTCTCTCATGAGCGGCTCTGAGTGCAACCATGCATTTGGGACCCGGGACCCAGAGAGGTTAAGCTCTTGCTCAAGGTCACACGGATTAAACGTGGGAGCCGGGATTCAAATTCAGCAGACGACACTCACATACAACTGCACCTCTTAGCAGGAGCCCACGTCTCCTGCTGAAATCCACGCTGTGTGGGCTCCCGCTCCCCCTGGGGCGAAGTGGGGTGATCAGGAGGGCCCTTCCTGCCCCAGGGCCACACTCCAGCGCAAGGGGCGCAGGGGGGGTCAGGCGCGGGGGAAGCAGGGCAAAATCAGGGACAGAGGGCTATTTGGAGAGGGGGAATTCGGGGAGGGCGTGGAGACAGGGAGCCGCCAGATTTCCCAGGGGAGTGAAGTGGGAGGGCAGCACTGGCCTCAGGCAGGGGCCCGCCAGGGAGGGGCGTCCAGGTCTCTGTAGCAACAGGAAGCCGCTGACCATGGGAACCCGAGCGAAGCCAGCCCCTGGTGGGGCTCGGGGGACACGAGCTGCCCTAGGGACTCAGCCACTTGCATGATGCAGGCAGTTTGTTGAGCACCTACTGTGCGCCGCACACAGGCTGGGCCCTGGGCACACAGTAGGCACTGGAATGACCGACTCAGTTCTCAGGAGGCCGTGTCTGGTGAGGAACTTGGACTGAAAGGGGCAATTCCAGGACAGAGGGTCAAGGCTTTGGTGGGGGTCCCGCGGCTTTGGGAGCATGGGGAGGGGCACCTGGGCTTTCCAGGGCCCCGAGATGGGGGGCATGGTGAGACCTGGACAGAGCCACAGGGCACATGGGTAGGGAGGTGACAGCCACAGTTCCAAACACGGGCTGGGGAGGCACGGGACCAGAGAGGGCTGTGGCCTGGAGAGAAGGAAAGGCTGGTGTCCCAGGAGCCGAGGGGGGTGTCCACTGCTCTCCAGTCCCTGCGCCTTTGTCTGCGTTTATCTAAATCCCGCCCCCTGGGTCCTCCCTCTCCCCAACATTCCCGCTCCCTGGGCCCCTTTGTCATTCTCTCCTAAATGTGTCCTGAGTGACAGATGGTCTGCACCTTCCAGGGCCATCTAAGCCCGGAGACAATGCTGCCGCCTCAACACTCCCCTATAAGCAGCCTCAGGAAGCGGGGGACCCTGGTGGTGTTCCTTGTGTCCCCCGGGGCCTACCAGAACCCGTTTTGGGTGCAAGGCAGAGTACAGCCCAGAAGCAGGGAGGGGACCCACCAGGTTGGGTTCTAGAACTTTCCGGAATGGTGCGCTCAGACCCCAAGAACAGCATCAGGCAGCGGCTTGGCTCCCATCTCCCATCACTGGGCCTTGGGGACCTAATGACTCACCCACCAGGGTTTGCCTGGTTTATTTCTGCACCTGGCGGCCCTGGGGACCGGGGGGACACCCCCAAGTTTCCAGGGGCCCCCCTCACTGGGCTCTGGGCAGACTTCCCCCTCTCCTGGCTGCAAAGCCCAGGAACACCCCCCTGCCCCCCCAAAGGATCTTCCTACGGGTACCTGCTGGCTGGGGCACTTTCCAGGCACCCTGAGGACCCAGACTGCGTTCTCTGGGGGACAGTGTCCCCCCAGGTCGGCTTGTGAGTGACGTGTGACAGCCACAGCCATTCTGTAAATCAGCTAGGGCGAGCAGGGGTCCACGCGAGCAGGACAGAGCTGGGCCTTGCCCTCACCGAGCGCAGGGTGCCGCCGGGAATCACAGACGAATAGTGACTGTGTGGCAGCTACTGAGCCAGTAGCACGGACAGGTGGGGGCTCAAGACGGCCAGATTTAAAGCTTACCTGTCCGTGAAGGAGGGCACATTCCGTGAAGGAGGGCACATTCCGTGATGCAGCAGCCCGATATTACCGATGAAGAAACAGGGCACAGAAAGGGTAAGTCACTTTCCCAGGGTCACACAGCTAAAGTCCAGAGAAGGTAGCAGTGGTAAATGCGGCGATGGGGAGTGGGAAGGGGACACAGGGCGGCAGCTGGGATTTCCTCCTGCCACAGGGGCAGGGCTGTGGCCCCTGCTTCTCCTTCATTCATTCACAGGACACATTAACAGAGCATCTACTGCCTACCGGGGGAGGGGGTGTTCCTAGCTCAGGGAGGCCTTGGTGAGGGTGGGCGGCTCACAGACCTGTGACTCTCGCAGGAGAAGGGCCTGCACTCGGTTCAATGGCCTTCTGGTGCCAACTTGAAATTCTCCATCAATTTTATGTATTTTTGTTATTTATTTATTTAGTCTTTGTGAGAGAGAGAGAGGGAGAGAAAGAGAATCCCAAGCAGGCTCTGCGCTGTCAGCTACAGAGCCCGACACGGGGCTCGATCTCATGAACCGGTGAGATCATGACCTGAGCCGAAACCAAGAGTCGGATGCCTCACCGACTGAGCCCCCCAGGCTCCCCCT